CCAAATGTGTTTTTTACATCAATACTGGGGGTTTGTTAAAATTACGAGGTCACGTAGCAGCTGGACCCGCCGGTGGGTCCGTAGGGTTCTAGGGGTTAAAAATGACCTAGAATGACAAAATTGCATCTAGATAAACCAAACTCGTTGTGCTCCAACCATTTTACGGAGAAAACCAGGGTAGAGATGTCTGGCCATAATAAACAGTTATATCTATGGGAAAATCTTGCAAAAATTCTCAGTCAATAACAAAACAGTCAATGGCATCACTCATTTTTTGTGAAAACGTTTCCACACATTAGGAGTCTTTGTCAATGCTGTAGCTTCACAGTGGAATAATCTGTAGTTTGATGGGTTTACTTCAAAATTCTGGTCATCAAGGAAGTGTCCTTTGTTCTTGAGGTGCAAGAGTTCAACTAAATCTTGCGAGCTTTCTCTCCCGTGATGTGCCAGAAGCTCTGGGCAAGAGGGCTGGTCCAAGTGGCTAAGTCGTCTTTATATCCTCCAGCAGTCTAACACTATAGCAGCATAACTGTAGAGAAAGTTCAAGAAAGCCTGGGCCACCCTAACTATACGGTGTCTGCCTCACAGACTAAAACTGATAGTGGTTCTGCAGGATTACAAACAATGAAGCAAAGAAATGGAATTATGATGATCTGGTGTTTTGTTAGACAATCACAAGACATACATTCCCTGCAATACTTGAGCTATGCTTAAAGTACCCTGTGGACTGATGAAGCTTAAGTAAAAATTTTATCTGAGTCTTATCAGCTTCACCTGGACCACCTACGATATCCCTTGCTCATGCTTCAACCAATCAATGCAGGGACTGCACTTCCTCCAAAGCCAAACATGTTTCAACATACACTTCACCTACCTCTTGGCCTAACCTCCCTCTAACATGTCAGCAAACTTTCCCCTTCCTCTGCTGCATCTCCTTCATCACACTCAAACTATTCTCAGTCCCACTTACCCTCTGCCTTATCCAACCACCAGTGTCCGGACCCTGAGGGAAGACTATTCTAATCCTTTTTCTAAGTTACTTATCAAAGCCAATGGTGATTCACAGCATCAAAGTCCTCTGCCTGGGCCCGAGCGCCAAAGAACTTATTTTATTCAAGCCGATAACACTTTTCTCTCTCTGTGTGAGTCTCTTCAGATTAAAATTATTTTAGAGTCAAATGTGGTACCATCCATTTGACGGCTGAAGTTTTGCCTGAATTGGATCTTGTATTAACTATTGTTACCAAAATTCCTCTTAAATTAAATAAGAGACTAGAAAGGCCAGTTTGACAATAAATACTTCAAGATGTTATTGCTACTAATACTTTTAGCCAAGGTCATGTTCCGTCTGTTAAGATATTGCACAAGCTGGGAGA